CCTTCTCAATCTGCCTCTTGACATGATCTAATTTGAAACAATCGGTGCAATACTTGCCGAAGCGTTTCGACGATTTGAAGAACGTTGGCTTGTTCTTCTTGCAGTTGGCGCAGACCAACTTGTCGTCTTGTACGCTTCGCGCTTTGCCCGATTTACTCTTCCTCTTCTTCCCGACTGCGTCAACCTCCATAGCATTTGGGTCCTTGGTATCGGCCTTGGCATGGTGGCCTTCTCGTTGTAGTGAGGTAAATATCCGGAGTGCGAATGTAAGGAACTCGGTCCACTTCTTGGGCCAGTTGTCCTTAGTGGTGTCCGCCAGCATGAGCAGCCACGTTTTCTCCGGAATATGTTTCTTGATCTTTTCGATCAAGTCTTGATCCGAGAAGCCTGTACCGGTTGTCTTTGGACGGAAGTCTTCTGCGAACTTTCGGAAGTCTCGATGATCCTTCTTGACGAAGGCTTCTAACTCCGTTCGCTTCTTGTCATCCTTGTCCAATGATTCGTACGCCGTGCGAAGTTCTGAGACGAACTCCGCCCAAGTTCCGGGTGCCTTGTTATTTTCGTTTATTTCGGTGATCCAATGCCGCATGTATTCGCGTGCTCCTCCTTTCAGGAGCAAGAGGGTCGACATAATTTTGGACTCGTCTTTGGTATGTCCGGTATATTTCAACCAGAGCATGACTTGTTCGAGCCAATCATCGAGATTGACTCTGTCCTTATTGCCACCATATTTTTCTGGTTGGTCAATTTTTACGCCTTTACCCTTGCGACCAAACGACGGCTCATCGTCGTCGTCCGTGTCGTCGACATTGGTACCGCCTTGCCCTGCCTTCCGTCCTTGCGTAGATGCCCATGCGCGAAGTCGATCATGTGATTTTTTCAGGTCTTCCATCCTGTTTTGGAGATCCTTGACCTCATCGTCAAATGCCACCAATGATTCGTTAGTGGCCTTGTTGTCCTCGAATAAGGCTGATGAGGTTTTCTCCAAGTCTGAGATTCGAGACTCGGTTTGTTGACGATGTTGGTCTAAGAAGACCGTCCGATTGTGGAACTCCGTGGTGTTACGTTCCATCGTATGTGCTTGACGCTGGATAAGATTTTCGTAATGTGCCACCGTTTGTTGACGCATTTCTTCCACCACGTTCGTGACGAGATCGACTACCCAATTCTTTACATTTTCGGGTATGTTCGCATTTGGGGGCGCTGTGTCGGCCAGGGCTTGACGAATGATAGGATTCGGGGGTTGCAAAACAATGTTAAGACGTGCAGGAAGCTCCGAAGATGGAGCACGAGAGAAGCTTGGATCATTGGGAGTGGGAGTCGTCATATTTACAATTCTTCCTCTATCTCACGAAGATGTTCTTCGAACTCGGCGATATGTCTATTGGCAGTCGTGGCCTGTCGGACAATTACTCTTCCTGAGCATTGGTTTCGCAGCAGCCAAAGGTCGTTATAGATGACCTTGACGAAGGGTTGCCACAAAAACCTGGTTTTGTCCCTGACTGCGGGCCACTGATGGTTATGATGGATTTCGCAAATGCGCTCGACTTCTTCGAGCCAATCGACGAAGCTAGGATAAGCTTCGGTGAGACGGTCCTCGGGTTCTTCGGATCCAATTGGGATATAACAAATATGAACTGCGACGTTCCTCCAATCAAATTCTGGATAGATTTGAAGGGCGTATATGTGATATACGTCGTGGTAATCGATGTCAAACGTGTCCTCGTATGTAGCAAACGCTTCGCCTGCTCTGTCTCGAAGAACACGTGGAATTGAATCCCAAAGATAATCGAAAGTGTGACCGATTGGATTGAGTTGCTCAAAGTTATCAAGATTGTTCGAATCGCCAGATGAAGACATATACAAAATGAATATTCATATCTACAGCAAAGGTCGCCCTGTGACCTGTATTCCTAGACGATACTTCTGGATAATATCTCTGATTATCCAGCGAGCTTCTCCGCCCTGACGCTTCCTTTCCTGGACGTAGTTGCAGAAGTCGCGAACCACGTGTTGGTGAACGAAGGAAAGTTTGAATTCTGCGATGTCGGTGCGGATGGATTCGAGCTTGACTATGAGATGCTCGAGGTCGAAGATGTCGTGGTCGTCAAGCTGACGACGATATCGTTTGGTAAGTATAATACGAATTTGTCGAAGGGTGCCTTCGACGCGCTGAGTCGAGATGATGGAGACGGCGAGAGGATAGATGAAATGAGACCCTGTAGCGGTCTCGACGTATGTCCCTTGATTGAGATCTGGACCAGATGGTCCTGCAGGTAGTCTCGGTCACCTGACCGAGGGAGTCTGGATAATAGAAATTGAACTACTGCCGCGAGGGGGCCGACCTCCCGTGGAAATGTGTCCTGGCCTTGGCAGGGGTCTTATGGGCCGCTGCTCGTAGAACTCTTCTGGAGTTCTCGCTCGAGGACGACGGATGACACCGTCGATGCTGCGCAATGCCTTGGTGCGGCTTACGCTGGTAGAGTCGGCGACTGACGGAACGTCAGGTGAAGATATGACACCGCTAACGTGCGGGTGGACGTGCGAAGACGCAACACTGCGGCGAGTACGCTGGGTGGGCACTCGAGGCAGGTAAGATAAGCAGACTTATTCTTCTATCACAAACTTAGGACGCAGAGCGCCGACTAAGCCTATGACCTTATGATCAAACACTTACTGACTGTTGTCGACGTAAGGATGGACACAAAGATGATCAAGGTAAAGCAGCGACTTGCAAGTGGTCGCTGGTGACACTGTATGGATAGGCGTAGCAGAGATGAGAATAAGTCTGGGGGACTTATGCGTCTCAGAGCTCTGGCTTATATACATGAGCGGAGGGACCCTTGGTACCCTGATACCCCAGAACCGCTAACTAATGGACATTGTCTGATTGGTTACCACTACCTGTCAGACTACGTCTGTCATGTATGCCGAATCTCCGAACTACTTAGTAAGACCATGGGAATGGTATTGCCTGTAATGGCTACATCTCCGGTGGCGTGGTATCTATCTACCTCGTGCATGTGAACTAATATACCCTTAAGGACATATCTCCGGTGTCGTGTATCCCCTTCGTTGGATTCTTCCGGAGTCCGACCGTTGCTTCTAGGTGGGATGATATTACTGTATAAGTTAGGCTTACCTAATACCAGCGCTACTTTGTCACATGTGTGAATATCACGTGATATGTCACGTGACTAGACCTGGACCTTCGGGGCGCCTAGGACTGTTAGTACTTCGCGTACCGGTTCGTTCCTTTCTGAACAGCCTAGCGCTGACGTCAAATGATGTCTTGGTCACGTGCAGAGGTGAAAACGTGAAAATCTGTGACAGACCCTCAGCCTCGCGTTCCGCCTGAGATCCGCGTATCCGTCATCGACCTTGAACAAACAGCACGCGAACCTACTTGCCGTCGAGCCTAAGGATGAATGTGCAGAAAATAATCAAGCACTCAAGTCTAAACAAGATGTGATCGAGCAGATCCGCTGCAGGATGAGGGCAAGAGTATGGACCAGTTGGAAGTGCCAACGCTCACGAAGCTAGACATGGATCTTTTCACCCGAGAGAATCCACGGCAAGCGAGCGCTCTGCTCTAAGGCGAAGAGGTGCAATCTCAGGAGCCAGACGGTATGCGGATATTATTCTTGTGATGAACGTATCATCGCGAAAAAACCGGCATGCTCTGTCGGGGCGGTGAATGAGAGCGAGCCACCAAAACGATGTCGATGAGAAGCAGCGCCACCCTAACAAGCGCCGGCAGCGTATTCTGTGGCCGAGTCTAAGTCCGAGCGTGAGCGTCGCCACCGGCACAAGTCGAAAAGCAAGACAGAACGTTCGCGCTCGCTGGCGCCTGTGGAGAAGACGGAGGAACAGTGCAGTACGACGGAAGGCTGGACAGGGAGGAGGAGTGCTGGCAGAGGCAAAAAAAACGCGAGCTGGAAAGGCTGAAGCGAGCTGAAGCAGCAGGTTGGAGAAGGAGCAGGTAGAGTCACAGCCTGCACAGATTTATTTTTCCACGGGAAACCTGATGAAAAAATGGTGAAAATATCTTAAGTCTGGATATGGAAATAGTTTGGAAATCGGGTGGAGACAATTGAACTATGTTACAATTGCTTCACCGAAACATATCAGTATCACATATTTTTGGACTGAAATATCTTCCTTTGGGAAATAGTTTCACTATTGCTGATACGTTTCGGTAAAACAATCGTAACATAATTTAATTGTCTCCGCCCAATTTCCAAACTATTTCCATATCCAGACATAAAATATTTTCACCATTTTTGCATCAGGTTTCCCGTGGAAAAATAGATTTATGCAGGCTGTGTGGACGGCCGTCCTCTGGCGGCGTAGCAACCTCGGACTCCACGGCGGTGGAGTGGGCCGGGAAGAGCTCGGCCTGAGGCTAAATAGTATTCATACGGCGTGCGGTGTGTGCACCCCGCCGTTTTGTCTTCCTCAACGCAGACCGAAGCGGTGGTCCGACAATTGAAGAGAGACGTCAGCCCGTGAATCGCGACACTACCTCCTTGATGGCGGGTGAGCGCACTGAGTCCATTCGTTTGAGCGATCGTGCTCGTGCTCATCGTTCTCCAGAAGCCAATATGGACAGCGGACCTGTGGACCTCGACGGTCATGCGATATTAAACGGGTTGGGATATGACACCGAAGGACATATTTCTCGAGAGCCACACCAGATGCTCGTTATCATATTACAGAAAATGTTTCGCATATGCGACCTTCGCATTTGTGCTTACATGTTTGCATTGAAGAACATCGCACAACTCATGAACGGATCAGCGCCTCTCCTGCGGGACATTAGCATTATGTGCTACAGCGCTTGGTACGAACCACTCACTTTTGGCGCTTTACTCAATCCCGAATAACTACTGGATCTGCAGCGACTCGAACTACGTGACATCTCATTTCCCTGGGGCATCACTCTTCCCCACACGGTGCGCAAATTAACTTCCCGTATTTGTCAAGCCACTTTGGGCGACATGCTGCAGACCTTGGATACAGTTCCCGGTCTGGAAGTACTCAGCCTTAAGAGTGACCCATTTTCGCTCAATGACAATCAACAAGAAGAAGAAGAAGAAGAAGACTCTCGAGAAGATCATATACTAGTCTCTCTTCCGCGCCTCCAGCTGCTGCGTTTCTTATACGTCGATATGTCTCATGTCGCGAGCCTGATCGATCACATCTCGTTTCTCTCGCAAACGAGCATTGAGTGGACGTGTCGTTACATGTTCAGTAATGAAGAACCGTTCACTGCTCTAGTGGCGAAGCTGTTCACACGGGCGCAACGGAAAGCCTTGTACATCCATCTGGAGCCTTGGCATGTCATCATCAGGGTCTCTGACATCGAACAGCGTGAAGTTCAGGACCAGCACGAGGAACGAGCGCTGGGCCGAACGCTTGCTTACTAAGCAGGCGGGCGAAGAAGAGACGCGCTCAGCTGACGTACGTGCTATGTCTCTTCCCACCCGCCACGACCTTCGCTACCAGCTCATCTCGTAGTTTCTTTATTCCGAGCTGCTCTTCGCTGTTCTTCATTATTTCTCACTTCATTGCACCTGTACCACAACTGGGAGTTTACACAACCCACGGAGCAAGGCTGGAAGGTGCTAGAGGGAAGTCTACTCAAGGCCTGCGCTCCGACAGCAACTACTGGACCCGTAAAGGGGGAGGAGCGCACTACACGCAACGCGTCCAAGGCGAATGGGCGTGCCCTTAGCTGCGAGAGCGTTCCAGAAGATGAGTATTTCTTCATCTATGAGGGCATCGAACTTCTCACCGGCACGCATCAAGTCACTAGAGAATGCCGCTGAGACTCCCTACTGTGAACCTTTTTAATGCAGCACAGCTTACTGGATTTATTCGTGACGCGTTTTTTTTCATCCTCACGAGAGGCTTTCTTGAAGGTCATGCGGGTGCTCGCCAGCGCGCATATACTCACTTGATAAGTCAAGCACACGTCGATTCTCCATGAATGCCCCCGCGCTGGCAATGACCGCACACGCTGGTGGCGAATGCTCTCGTGCGGCGTCGAACGTCACACGCTGTCTCGCGACGGCAAATGGCTTACGCTCTCCGAGCCAACCTGTCTTATATGCGCGTGGACGGACTACCGACCTTATATATGCACGCATATAGTCATCCGCACTGGCCGACTGTCCTTATGCGTCCTCGTCGACGGGTGCCTGCTCATTAATGCTGGTCACCAACTTGTGCATCTTTTGGAACCTCACCGGCCATTGCAGTGTGCCTCATCGGCCGCAAAGGAAACCCTCACCGTTTTTTTTTTTTTTGGTTTCCTTCTGCGAGTCTACCGGGCCTTCGCCGGACATCTCGACGCATGCGTTCGTGAATGTATCTTGATGCCATACCATGCAGCTGCTTTCTGAGCTGTTCTGCGACGTTATTCCCTTCCTGATCCATCATTGAGACAGCCAGCCCACCCGGCAAAGTTCGCGTCATACGGCGTTAATGCTGCAAAGATGCAGCACCCTAGGTCATCGAAGGCCATCTCTTCGTATCATCAGTTAGAGCGTTTCTCTCACTCGTTCGTTGGGAGCGTGCCATCCCTTTTGTGTCATGGAGTGCACGCCCATTCCGTGTTGTCCTTTGGAGTGTCTCTCCGCATCATACATTAACAGATGCATACCTTCGGGATCTTCGGAGCGTTTCTCCTCCCATCGTCGTCCGTTCATAGACGTGTGCCTTTGGGATCGTCAGAGCGTTTTCCCCTCCCTTTTTCTGCATGCATTTTGTGTCGTCCCTTCATGGACATGTGCCTTTGGAATCGTCGGAGCTTTCTCCTCCCCTTCTTGGCATATGTTTAGCATTGTCCATTCGCAGGCGCACGTGTTCGGGATCGTAGGAGCGTTTCTCCACCCGTCGCTGGCAGACGTTGCCACAATTATTCGTCGGAGCGTTTCTCCATGTCATCCGTCTGCAGGCATGTGCCTCTGGGTTCGTAGGAGCGTGTCTCCACCTGTCGCTGGCCGACGTTGCCAACCATTGTTCGTTGGAGCATTTCTCCACGTCATCTGGTCATATGTGCGTGCCTCTGGGTCCGTAGGAGCAATTTCTCCACCCGTTGCTGGCAGACGTAGCCAGTATTGTTTGCCGTAGCATTTCTCCATGTCATTCGTTCCTAGATGCATGCCTTCTGGATCGTTGGACCTTATGTCTTTCCGTCACTGTTCATCGGGGCATTTTGTCCATGTCGTCTGTCCATAAAGATGTGCCTCCAAGTCCGTAGGGTTTTTCCCCAACCATTACTGGCCGATGTTGCCAGCGTTATCTACTGGAGCCTTTTTCCACGTCATCCATCCATCGGTGAATGCCTTCAGGATCATAGGAGTGTTTCTCATCATGTTACTGGCAGACGTTGCCAGCGTTGTTCGTCGGAGCCTTACACAGCAACTTCGAATTTTTGTTTCTATGTTCCGGTTCTTTGTGGGACCTTAAGGAATGATCTGTTTCCCTTGCGAACGCGAAGCGTATCAGATATGTTATCAGTCTCTGGGTTCTTCTCGTGGATGCAGAATGCGGACATGTTATACAGCGCAATGCTATGAACTTCAACGGTCGCCATGCCCCAGGAGTACATCGAAGGACCTTTGGCTTTTGGTCGATGTGTCAACTGACCGGAGCATCTGTCTTGTTATGGGCCATTGCTGCTGGGTAACTTGGCTCTGGGTCTCGGGGCTGGACGTGAGATGGGCGCAAAACCTGGTCGGGTGATAATGGCACGCTCGTGTTTGCCGCTCACGCAGTGGATGCCCAGACCACCCAGGATACCTCCCTGATCATTTGAGGCGATGATATGGGCGTCACCGTCACATATAATTGTGGTCACGTTCACCACACGAACGACTCTATTCGTCATGTCGATATTATTGCCGTGGCCCCAGCCTCGCCTTCCTTCCATGTCTGTGTTATAACTGCAGATAATTTCGCTACCCCGGCCTCTCAGGGTGTTATGGACGTCTAGCTACCTCGTCTTGCCACCTCGAAGTGGAGCTTCAACCTTTCGTTCTTGTTAGCACAACCTCACGGCCAACTCTTGTGCGGGCCGGCACAACGGCGCACAACCGGGAAGCCTACACTCGGTTGTTCCATGTCCCCGCGACTGGATTCCTCATTCTTTGGCAAACCTCCCATGGCATTCAGCATCTCGTCTTCTCCTTCGTCTGGAACCTATGTGTTCTCTTCTATGTCTTCCTGCCTGCACTGAAGGGAAAGACCTACCATTTGTGATGCTAGGCTTCTCAGACCCGCTCAGTTTGCGATTTGTTTTCGGCATTCCTGAGTTTGCATACAAGCTCGCACCCACAACCCTCGTTGCTGCCTTCGTTGCTCCTTGGCATGGTCGAGCTACTTGTTCTATCATGGTTAACTGGCTTGCCAGTCTGCATTCCTGGCTTATCAAAAATGGTGTGCCTTGGCACTGTGGTGACGTGTTAGAAATGGTGTAACAATGGCTAGCACGGCTGTCCCGGCAAACTTCTCCTAGCCCGCCATACCCTCTTGTGACCCTCGAGCATATGCACCCTTGTGATAAGGTTTAGTCCTTCCAACACCGAAGCCTGATGCCAGTGTGTATGCATGTGTGCATGGTGGATTGGTGCGTGTGTCGATCCAGCAAGGTTATCATGCCCAGTTTTAGCCTGGTTGACCTTGGATTTCTCATCGCGCGAGTGCGGCGCCCCATGTAGTTCGCATATCGCCTGGTGGCTGGCGAGAACACCGTCGCTATGTCTGTTCGAGTGATTCTGTCGCTATATACCATACCTCATCCTTCTCTACGCGACCCAGTGTGGGGGAGTCATGGCGGCAGAGGCGGCACGACTGTTGTGGGTCGGGTGGTGTAGTCGTGCCTCCCTCGTTAGGCTGCTACGCCGCCACTTCACGCTCGAGAGTTCGGCCCAGACGCGCTCGGAAGCCCTGGATCGTCGGTCAGCGAATCAGGAGTCTGGCCACCAATGCCAGGACCCCGGACACCAGCGATCCAGATCCCGAGCACCCTTCGTGCACGGCGGAAAAAGCCGCGTGCTTGCCCGGCCGAACCCTCTCCCCCACACACCGTCGTAGTATTCAAGGTTGTTCATACCACTCCATCTCACCTCGCAAGCGCCCGCTGAACTTAGGAAGCCGTCTGGCTGGTGTGATGATGACGTCGGATCATGGATCATGCTGTGTTTCTCTTGCGCACATAAAGACGCTCTTTCGGGACAGGGCTTGGTGGCTGCATTCTGCGCGGCGGCCCCGCTGACCGACGTTCACACGCTGAAGTTGTCATGTTGGCTCGATGACCACGAGTGGAGGGGTTTATTTTCCGATTTGCCAAACCTGACCAACCTGCAGGTGGTTGGTGACATGGCGACGACTCTACCACGCGCTCTCCTAACTCGTATAGGCGATGGCAATGGCGATGTCCATCACTTTTTCCGCAATCTCCATACACTGGTTTTCGAGGAGGTTGACTTTGGGGTCCCTCGCTTCAGTCGGGGTGTTTTATTGCACTATCTATTGAGCCAGCTAGAGACCGCCATTCTGAGCCGGCGCTCATATGGCATAAACTTAAAAAAGATAGCCTTCAGGTGCTGTTCTGGCGTGGGCGATCACAACCGTGAGCAGTGGGAGCACCTTGCCAAGAAGGTAGAGCTCCACCACAGCGGGGAGAAATTCTCGGACACTGATGAGGATGACTATCTCTCGGAGTCGGACATAACACAAATCGACGAGGACGATGAAGGCTTAGACGAATAGACTCATATCCTGGCGCGTATGACTTAATGGCTCGACTGCCGCATACCTGCAAGGTGCGCATTGCATTCGCTTGGTTTCTTATGTTCCATTCTCACAAATGACTTCCAGATCGACTGGAAGTATCCACATTCGATCTGCTTCCACCACCTTGTCGATGGGCCTACCAGCTCTGTTCATTCTCGCTTTTCGGGACATCGTTATGCAATTCTATTGCTATTGGCGAAACGGATCTACTCATCTCCTCTTTCTGTCCACGTGATCGCCATCTTCGCACAAAATCCACATAACGCTTGCATCGCGTCGGCAATAAATTCTCGGGCGTCCCACACTTCCTACGCCAATTGTATACTCAATGCTAGATGTAACGACTGCATCAATATAAAATAATGGAACAAGAGTCCTGGCAACGTAGCAAGGAGACAGTAGAACGCTGAGACCGAGACTCACGCAGTAAAGTGAGAACGAGGACGAAAATTCAGCACCATCACAATATCATATCAGTATGCTAAAATCTGACTTATCGCAGATCCGGAAGGCTTGTCTCTCATCCTGCTGCTTCTCATCAACACAATATGACAGTCAGGTCTGCGCACTTTTAGCATGAAGTTTTTGTTCCTACCGCGAGTAACTTTCTTACCTTCGCCTCTGGCATGTCCTTTTAATCTCTCCACCCCCTGAAGCCCTATGACCTCTGACCTAAGAGTCAGAAGGATTCAGTAGGGCTTTGTAGCGGGTGTGTAGCACCATAAATTCAATTGTAACCTCCGAGTAGAGTCGCAGGAAAAGCTAAGGAAAAGCATACATATCACTCGATTTCAACTAATGCTGCCGAGTCTGCGAGCGCCGGCGGCTTGAGTCGGCCTGCTGTCGCAGCTCGCTTCCGGCTCAAAGAGTCGATTTAACACAACTCGAACGCGTTGTGCAGTTGTTCCTCATCCCGCATCATCTCTAATCTTGTGGATGGCCTACCGCCTTGACGGCGGGTGAGTGCCCTGAGCCCATTTATTTGAGCAATCATGCTCATGCTAATCCATCTCCAGAGTCCAATATGGACAGCGGACCCGTGAACCTTGGCGGTCATGCGATATCAAACGGCTCTGGATATGACGCCAGGAAACATATTGCTCGAGAGATTGCTACGTATCAGCAGGAGCTTCAGAAGTTGAATTCTCATCGCACTGCTTGCAGGTTGCCGGTCGAGATCCTAATGAACATCTTTGAGGAAATCCGATTCACTACGCAGACTTTGGAAGACAGCCCCTTCCGGGATACCAATCCCTACAAGTGGATTGTCGTCACTCATGTATGTTCCCTTTGGCGTAATGTTGCTCTTCGGTCGCCGGCGCTATGGCGACACGTTTATGTGATGGAGAGCGTCGAATGGATGACAGAAGTTTTCAGCCGCTCCAAAGACCTGCCCTTGGTGGTTGTAGTCCAATATTCTCCCTATTCAACAGAACCATGTCAGACGTTGGCAACCGTATTACAGAAGATGTCTCGGATATGCGACCTTCGCATTTGTGCTCCAGCGGATGTATTGAAGAACATTGCACAACTTATGAACGGACCAGCGCCTCTCCTGCGGGACGTTAGCATTACGTGCAACATCGCTTGGTGCAAACCGCTCAGTTTCGGCGTTCTTCGCAATCTCGAACAATTGCCGGATCTGCAACGACTCGAACTACGCGACATCTCGTTTCCTTGGGGCATCCCTCTTCCCCGCACGGTGCGCGAATTAACTTCCCCCATTTGTGAAACCACTTTGGGCGACATGCTGCAGACCTTGGATACAGTCCCCAGTCTGGAAGTACTCAGCCTTCAGAGCAACCCATTTTCACTCGATGACTATCGAGAACTGGAAGATCATAGAATAGTCTCCCTACCGTCCCTCCAGCTGCTGCATTTCTCGGACGGCGATATGTCTCGTGTCGCGAGCCTGGTCGATCATATCTCGTTTCCTTTGCAAACGAGCATCAAGTGGACGTGTCGTCACCCGTTCGGTGATGAAGGACAGTTCACCGCTCTAGTAGCGAAGCTGTTCACACGTGCGCAATGGAAAGCCTTGCACATCGGTCTGGATACATGGGATATCGTCATCAGGGCCTCTGACATCGAACAACCGTTTGGCTGGTATAATGGCAACGTCGGATCATCGACCACGCTGGATTTTACTTGCACATCCTTTCAGCCATGTGACTTAGTGACCGCATTCTGCAAGGCGGTCCCGCTGACCGACATTCGTACGCTGGAGATGTCATGTTGTTTCGATGACCTCGGCTGGATGGAGTTATTTGGTAATTTGCCAAACCTGACCAATCTGCAGGTGGTTGGTGACATGGCGATGTCCCTACCACGGGCTCTCTGGACTCGTCTCCGAGACGATGGCAATGGCTATGTCCGTTACTTCGCACACGATCTCCATACGCTTGCTTTCGAGGAGGTTAACTTTGGGGCCTTTCGCCGGTTCCCTAGCGGTCTAGGGACACCGCGCGATCTCTTGAGAGAGCTAGAGACCGCCATTCTGAGACGGCGCGAACATGGCATAAACTTAAAGAAGATAGCCTTCAGGTGCTGTTCTGACCTGGGCAATCACAACCGTGAGCAGTGGGAGCACCTTGCCGAGAAGGTAGAGCACCACCACAGCGGGGAAGAGCTCACGGATGCTGATGAGGATGGCTATCTCTCGGAGGCGGACACAACACAAACTGACGAGGACGATGAAGACTTCGACGAGGACAATCATATGCCTGGCACATACTACTAAATGTCTCGATTGCCGCATACTATCAAGGTGCGCATTGTATTCGATCGGTTTCTACCGGTCCATGCTCACAAAATGGCTTATTGGTCGACTGAAAGTATCCACATTCGATCTGCTTCCACCACCTTGTGGATGTGCCTATCAGCTCTGTTCATTGTCGTTTCGGGACATCGTTACGGCAATCCTATTGCTATTGACGAAACGGATCCACTCACGTTGCTCTTTCTGAGACATCGCTATCGCAGAACCCTCGCCACCCTCATATGATGTCGAAGTTGTAGTTTTCCGTGATTCTTACAGACCCATCGCGTTCCAATGCCACCAATTTACGATTCTCTGTGTCCTCCGTGTTTTTTTATTATACACGTTACAAATCAAAGGCGTATGTACACGACTGCTCGCTTTCCCCGGCTGTCGTGTTTTACTCTCTGGGTGTCAAAACGTCTTATGTCCTCTGTGAATAATACTTGTTCAATGCTACAATGTATGAAATCATTCGCGATAAGTTCGGCAGGCCGCATCTCGTGCCCATTGGCCCCACTTTGTGAGAAACTACCATCATGGTGTCGGACACTTGCTCATGCAACAACACCAGCCGTCCGATCATTAACTTTGAACACAAATATGCATATGATTATTAATGCTATGATGGGTCTATGGGGTCACAGCTTTCAAGGTCCAGACGAGCATAGATAAGAAGCGAATATTCTCATACACGTTAGAAGATTGCATTGATGAGACCACTACCAATGGCAGCACCTTGAGACATAATGTCAACCTGCCCGAGCGTGACAATTATGGACAAGAGTATACTCACCAGCCCCAAACCCAACGCCTCCAGCAGCAGAGTTAGCCATCTGACACGTTCGTTGAGCATTATTGCACGCCTGCGATAATTTATACTCACCGTATTGCCGAGCCTGCCAAACTTGCTCTTCTTGTGCTCCTGCTGCGGAGCTTGCTGCAATCCCATAGAGTTGACGCCCGCACCGGGCGGAGGAGGCTGATCCATCGGTTGACTGACAGCTCCAAATGGACGATAAACTGGCTTCTCGGGGGGTGCGGAGACGTATGATGGAGGTGCCTGCATAGGAGGCATCGGAGGCATCGGAGACATCATTTGTGGCATCGGCGGTGGCATCGGCATAGAGCTTGTATCCAGTTTCTCTACGTGGTTGGATGGGAACAGCCCCTGACGTCCCCTGCAGCTCCCGGTCCACCAGTCTGCATTCGTTTCATCGACAATCTCGACAATTTCGCCAGCCGAGAAGGACAGATCGTTCGGTTCCTAAGGTCGCATTGCTCAAGATTAGGGGAGGACAAATGATCCGAAAGCATCACACTCACCTGACCGTCCTCATTGTACGCCCATACCGCTCTAGCTCTCTGCGTGCGCGGGGGCGGGGGAGGAATGCGGCGCGCCGGAGGAGGCACGTCTTGCGGAGGGGCTATAGTCAATGCCTTCATGTCCTCAACTGACGGTCCGTCCTGCAGCTTGGGCAGTCGACGCATCATGTCCGCGACGTCGGTAGGCGAGAGATAGTCCTGAGAGGCCAGAAACTCGATGTTCTGACGTGTCTGCGACAAGACATATCTCAAAAGAGCGGCCGCTTGAGGATCTTCGGGTGGCTGCATAGTAATGGTAAGAAGAAAGGTTGTGAAAGGGGAAGATCGTGGTCGTCTAGTATAAGTGTCACGTAAAATGGCTCGGTGGCTCGGCTGCTTGCACAGCGTTAAACGGCCAAGCCGCGGCTCCTAACACACGATCACGATCACAATGTCTCCATTCACTCTCATCACCACCCTGCCCGCATTCCACACTCTCGAGGAACATGACAATTTCGTTGCATCCACTCCCGCCTCGTTCAGCGACATCCCACCCGTCCTGCGTCACAAGGAAGAAAATGTCTCGGTGACAATTGACCCACCTCTCAGCGGCTTTAGTTCGGACGACTGTGCTGTCGGGACATTATACGTACTCGAGAGGTAGGCCGTCTGAAACCGACCATAAATTGAAGCTCATTATGTTTCAGTGTCCTGGTGTTCATGTCCGCCACAGGCCGTGGATTCCAAGTGGAATACCCATCCATCACTTTGCATGCCATCTCACGCGCAGAGGCTGGCCCATCCATATATTGTCAACTCGACCAGGCTTCCAGTGCCCATGCGGAAGATCAGCAGGAAGAGGAGTTGAGCAGCATGAGCGAACTTTTTATCGTGCCGAAGGATCCGCTTTCTCGTGTGTTCATTCTCTATTATGAACGCTTGCCAGTCCTGACCCTCGATCATCCAGTGGAAGCAATTTTCGAAAATCTCTCCATCTGCGCCTCGTTACATCCTGATCCTGCATCCCTGTCAGACGACATGGACGACGAGATTTTTGCTGATGCAGATCAGGTCGAGATGTTCAACGGCGATGAACAAGAGGAGCTTAGTGAAGTCGGGCGGGTACGCAGCGATTTCCTGAATAATAACCGTTATAATCCGTACTAGATATCTTCGTGCTCTGTCAGGCAGCACTCGCTCATCTGGAATCCATCATCTATAATCCATTTGAACAGTCAGAAGATCAAAATCACACAACCGAACAAGCAGGAGAGACTCCAGATGAATGATATAATCGTATACAAAAACGTTGCTATGTGTATGTACATTTCACCTATACCAAAAAAGCCGCACGCACAATATGTTACAATCTGTGTCTTGAGTAAAATCACTTGCGTTCCCCAAACCCTTCCATGACCCATGAACTCGAAAGCGATGGTCCGCTATCCGATGCGGGAGTGCCCCTTTCCCTGAGATCCACAGGTAACGATTGCATCGGTTTGACTCCAGGTAGCGGGCCCCAGTCAAACTTCGCAGCCGGTGGGCTGCTAGAAGGCGCTTTCTTCAGAGGAATCGCTTTCGCATGGCGTTTGGAGATTACTCGTAGTCGGTGACCAGGACCTGCAGAGTGCGACAGCTCGGACGAATCATCGCTCGCGAATGGATCATCTGCGACTTCGGTGAACGAACTATTCAAATTTGACAACGATGGCTCCATAGATTCTGGTTTCTGAGCGAGACTGGCCCTCGGTTGAATAGTCATTGGCTTGGAGACTGCCTGATCATTCAATAAAGGCTCTTTCCGAGCCATCGACAGAGCACGTTTGAGTTTGTGCGCCGACATCTCTGCGTTCAGAGCAGCCGCTGTCGACCGTGCAACGGTGGGCGTCAGCTCACGACGACGTGAACTCTTCTCCCATGACAGCCTGTAATCTGTTGGAGACGCCTCCTGCGCCAATTTCAGGTTCAGCTGTGCGGTACGAGCAGTTAATTCTGCAACGCCGTCTTCCTGCTGTTGAATCGCCTGATCGATGTTGCGGTAGATACGATTGATGGTATCCAGCGAGGGTGCGCTGTGATGACGTGGTCAGCGAGTGAATCCAAAATGTTGGCAGACGCACTGTAATCCAGTCTTGCGACTCTTGAACAAGTCCAGCTTCTTCTTTGACTCATGAATTTGTCCCTCGAGCTGCTGTACTCGGTCGCGTAGGACCTAGAGTTTTGAGTATGAAAAGACGAACGTCATTCATCAGGATGAGATCGCCTACTCTGATATCCCTTCTGAGCTGCTTCTGCGTCTCCAAATGCTCCGGCCCCAACGTCCTCGATTCCAACATTCTGGCAAAGTCCGGGTCTCTGGAGGCCTCGCTGAATTGAGCGATCTCCTCTCTACGGGTACTTGCTAGCGCCATTGATGAGTGATAAGTAATGAAACTGAAAAAGCAAAGACGTTGGCATACCTTTCAGCATTGAGCCCTCAACTTGCTCGATAGCTGCAATGCAAGCTAACTTCTCCTCCTTGAGAATTGCCAGGTCATGCTGAACCGATCGCACGATTTGTTCTAATTGCGCGGAGTCACCGATGGCCCACTTTGATGAGTCTCCGAGGTCCGACACGACATGACGACCACCGTGGGCCCTGTATAGAGTGGCGCATCTATTGCGTGCATCTTGTGCGGCAAATTGCACCTGTGGAAAAGTCAATGCTTCGTTACAGGATTTCACCAGTGGTGCATACCTTTTCGAACTCCTTCGTAAGGACTTCGTGCAAATTCAGGCATTCGTTCTGTAAGTTTTGCGCCGCTGAATGATTCATCAATAATGGGCGTTTGGCATAGAGACAGGATGAAATCGCGTACCCTTTACTTGTTCTGACACGCCGCTAGGTTGGGATGGTTGTAATGCAGGTGCCTTGAAGCCGGGTGCCCCTGATGAAACCTGTGGAATTTTGAGACCTGAGGCGAGGTTGAAGGGCGCTGGTGGCACCGGTAACGGCACAAGAGGCGACGCAGCTGGCAGCGGTGCGAACGGAGACGCAGGCCTTGTCTGCGGCAGCGCTGATACCGGCCTGGTGCCTAACAAGGCAGTCTCAGTTGCGGGTTTAGGGCTCAACATTGAACCACTGGCGGAAGCTGCACCCGATGGACTAGGCGATACCAGAGAGAAAAATGACGGTGGCTTAGATTGCGACGTCAGAGTAGGTGCATTCGCTGGTCGCGCAAACGAGAAGTTGGGCGACGGTAGAGGAGGCATTTTCACTGACGATGACGGGAAGGGGGGAATCTTGAACTCTGGGATGTGAGGAGGTTTAGATTCGGGGGTAGCCTTTGCTAGAGAGTCTTGAAGTGTACTCAGTGAGAAGGGGGATGGTGCAAGTTCGGGCTTTGCAGTACGCTCGGCTTTATGATCAACGTCGCTGGTGACCGACTGGCTCGCCAAAGGCGAACTGCGTACAGGACGGGTGGACGGCCTACCAAAACTGAAAGCCTGTGATACATACGGTGCAACAGGAGGTGGAGGCATCTGCGCTGCGGAAGGGGTCGACGTCATGCCACTGGGAGATCCCGGAGGGGTGGTACTGGAGGCAGCCACGGGGGAGCTCTGTGCCTTCTCTTGTCCGGCTGGTGAAGGGATCCCACTGGAGAGAGAAGCAGACTTCTCGGCATCAGATCTCGCTGCTGTAGACTCCACAACATGTTCAGCAGATGCAGGCGATGTAGAAGGAACCTCTTTTATGTCAGGACGCGGTTCTGCCAGCTCTTCCTCTTCTGACCCGCTCCCCAGCTCTTCAGACGACGATTCGGAGAGGAATGAGCTACTCTCGTCCTCCGATGCTTCTTGCTCCTCTTCCCCTTTCTCTTCACTAGCCGCCCAACCATGCTCGGCATCGCTTTCTCGGATCATCTCTTCATAACTCTTTCTCGGAAGCGGGCGCCGTACCGAAGCTGTGACAAATTTAGGAGATGCAGGGGATAATCCTCGTATTGCGTCACTCTTCGTCCCAGCATTCAGATTGGCGAAGGCAGAAGTACTGCTTCCTGGAATTGAAGTCGGGCTAAAGGCAGATTGGATTCCAGTTGCCAATTGCGACCCTTCCATTCCTTTTGCTGCCTTGAAGAATGGTGAGGATGCCGATATAGGAGTGCCAAACCCACCAAAACCGGTGTCAATTTTCCCGAATCCATACGGTGTTGTTTTCAATTGTCCGAAGGCTCCAGGCTCAGGGGCAGAATAACTGGACGTCCCAGCTTGAACTGATTCTTGAGCAGGTTGAGATGAAGGCATAAGCGCAGGGGCGGCTTTGATTGCCTGCTCTCCATCAACGACCGGCTTGGATGGCTCCTTTGCCTCTGCCTCCGTCTTAACAGCAGGCCCACTTGATGTTGTGGCCCACACAGGCTTCGTCTCCGGCTTGGATGGAACAGGACCAAGGGTACTTGGGCTAGCCTGAGCGAATGCCGCAAAAGCGCTACCAGATCCGACGGCCGATGGTGAAGCAAACGACGGAGGTTGACCAAAGGAAATCTGGCCAAATGCAGCCGTTGCTGGCTGTGCTGACTCGTTTGGCGTGGTCGACTTAGCCGCCTGTCCGAAACTGAAGGAAGGCTTAGACGGCTCGTTCAAAGTAGGTGGCTTTATTGTCGCCGCGAAAGTGGAGAATGCCTTAGAGGACTCGGTGGACGCTGATGGCTTGGGCGGCTCTCCAAAGCTGAAGCTAAATTTTGGCGGCTCCTTGATGGTTGCACTGATATCTGTACTACTTGCAGCCATCGTCAGCGCCGACTTCGGCTCTGTGCTTGACGACGCTGAGCCAAATGTTGCAGTACCCGACGATGCGAAGGCGGTAAAAGCATTATTACTGGAATCTGACAACACGGCGGGCTGTGGAGAGCTAGGTGGTTGTTCGCCGAACAGCGATTGACTGAATGTAGTCGCAGCCTGTTGTGATGACCCGCGGAAGCTGAACAGATCTGACGTCTGCCCTCCGCTGGAGGCGGGCTGGGGCTGCTCCTTGGCGCTTACCTCCATCTCCTGATTGTCACTACTCGGAGTGGCGGTCCAAGCAGGCTTGGTATCTGTCGTCGTTCCAAAGTTCAACGTTGCCGGGGAGGTCTCTGCGAAAGCAGCAAAGCCACTGCCGCTAGATGAAGCAGCGGGCTGCGAGGTAGAAGGCGGTTTTCCAAAAGACGAGCTGCCGAAACCGGATGCGGCAAACCCTGATGAGACAAACCCAGATGAGACAAAACCTGATGCACCAAAGCCTGATGCACCAAATCCTGGCTGGGTAGTAATCGGTTGACTGAGTGCCGATTGACTAGACGTTGGCTGACCAAATGCTGCATGTCCTGACGCAGGCGGAGCGAAAAAGCTCTTACCGAACGACGACGGCTGTCCGAAAGCAGACTGCCCGAATCCCTGCGTTTTGGCTTCATTCAAAGATGACAATGTGGGTGTACTAGAGGGTACGCTGCTCCCAAAGGCACCAAAAGAGCCACCAAAGGCAGCGAATCCTGAGACTGGTTTCATATTATCACCACTGAATCCAGCGGGTGATGATTGACCAGCATCGCCAGAAGCGGCAGTTGGGAAATTGCCGAACATCGACGGCCTCTCTTTAGACGCATCCTGAGCAGCACCAGTTTCTCCTAAAGAGAGGCTTAAGAGTCCGTTGTCCGCTTCAGATGCCATGACGTCATCCACGGGGCTTGCAGGGGTAGGTGGAACAGGTTGAGGAGCTTGGAACGATGTTGCAGTAGCCGCGATCGTCGTAGCAGGGCTTTCAACCTCTATCGGTGATGGTTCTGGAGGTGGAAGGATCGCGCCTGTTGCCATGACTGCAGGGGGCGGAGCTGCAGGCATCTGGCTTTCCTGCGGCTGAATGGGCTGTGATGCCATGTGGACCATTCCTGGGTACGGAAAACCCTTGGTATTGACCACATGCCAGCCAATGATCGTCCCATCCGTGACGTACGCGTACAAGATCGGAGAAGGAGGCAACTCGGTAACCTCTTCTGATGCACCTATAAATTGATATGGGGCGTTATCGGTCAAGTCGAACTCCATGCCGAGAAGTACTGTTTCGTTCAGTTCCTCGTCAAGGGGCACTGTAGGCGTCGAAGACTCCTCGAGCTCCTGCTTGAACCAGTAGTCGTTGATGTTCGATATCAACGATATATCCGTCGTGCACGCATCTGTGACGAATATGAGATACTTCGCCGGATCCCAATCGCGCAGCATGGGCATGATGGTTGCAGGTGGACGCAACCCAGGAAACGGAAGATAGAGAGGTAGGAAACTTGTAGTCGTAAATTTCTTTTCTTCGAGGTCCAACGTGATGCCAAAGTGCGCTTGACTGTTCTCGACTGAGATAGGGGAAGGTGTATATGCTGCAAATAGCTCCGTTTTAGAGAGCCACTTTGCACCGAGGACGGCTTGTGCAGTATCACCAGCCCTCGGTACAACAGCAGTCATGACGTATACTTTGGTGGGGTCGTATGCAGTTATTTCTCCACTTTCAAGACCCAACGCCACTTCCTTGCCAGTAGGAGACCAGAACACTACAGAATAACTTTCAGTGACATCCGAATGGATGACGAATAGTAGCTTACCGGATGTCGGTCTCTCTCTAGGCGTTCTACCGCGTACCCAGCCTCCTCTCGGCTTCAGAGCTTGGACATCATACAGTTCCGCCACATGATGGTTTTCCTCCGATTTCCTGAAGTCACGGAGAACCGCAACGAGCTCAGGGTGCTCGCCGAGATTCGGCTCAACCTGTAGGATGATTAGATTGTTCACGGATGGGAAAGTATGTAGGGGAGTGGCTGGGCCATCTTCGATGAGAGCCCCGACATCATACACTGCCAGGGTCCCATCGTTGAAGGTGATTAGTAAGCGTGATTCATTGTTTGCGAATTTGATGATACTGGGAAATCCAGTCAATGGGAATCGCTTCCTTGGTGCGAACGGAATGTCATCGCTTGACTCAGAGGCGAATGCAGTACGCAGGTCGGCGAGTGGAGAAACAACAATATCTGTTTATAAATTAACCCACAAACATCAACAGAGTCACAATCGACGTACGGAATTCCGAGCTAGAAGCTCGGACAACAGCGGCGAAGATGCCTCTGTGATTTGCGATAGCGAAGAGGTTTGCCCGCCCTTGAAGACCTTCGACACCGACGACTTCTGGCGACAGTTTGACGCGCACCCTCTTGTTGAGAAGACGGAGAGCAAGAAACTACGAAAAATCATCAGAGCTTGATTGGATTGGTAGTCTGTGTGGCCTCACGTCTGTATCCCGCTCCAAGGCCTCCCTCTTGTAACGCTTGATATCCGAGGGGAGCGGCGGAGGCGGCGTGAGAACTAAGGAGTGCACAGAATCTTCAGTTAGTGGAAGCGCCATGCTGGAGGGAAGAACACGCAGGAGAGTGGTGGCCACAGCGACTTGAGTCTAAGTCGAACCAGGCAAAGCGCGTCGCATCATGTGATCCCCGGCCATCAGGCCATCAGATCCAGATCTCGCAACGCAACCTGGCAATGGTCTACCTTCTGCTTCTCTCCATTAACTGCTTCAGTCGTCGAGCCCATTTCTCATTATATTTTTTCTTATTTTCTTCAGCAAAGGCTCCACCAGTGAAGACTTTCTCAATCGGACAATTTACGCCGAAGCAAGTACAATTACATTAGCATTCGGCATCCTAGGACGACATGCCTCCCGGTGCGACAATTAGCAGCCCTGCAGCACATCCAGCCCGATCTGGTACATTCTATAAAGCCAGTGATGCCTCATATTTCGAGCAACTGACCGCAGTCAATTCTGTACCACGTAGGGCAGAGCAACATCTCCATGCGCTTGCACGCCCTCTTCCCGGCCATGAATGCGGAGCCTTCCGTTATCCAGTCTGCTTCGTCACCGCCTTCGGCATTCCCATCCGCTGCAGAGGCTAGCGAGGGACTTTTCCTAAAAGTTAGGATTTTAACGTGGAACATGCACGATTCACTACCCAAGGTATGCATCATTCAGTGCATGCTCTCAGAGCCACTAACACCCCCTGTTCAAGGGGGATCTGAGTGAACTGCTCGGAACAGTGCCTCCGTATGTCCCAGCGGTAGAAATTCTTGCGGACCCTTCTGGAATACCCGTCTTCCCAGCCGATGCCAAGCATCCGTACCACATTGTGATAATGTCAGGCAAATGCGCGTGTTCTGTATCAAAGCTCGCTGCTAATCTGTGCTGTAGTGCAGGACAAGAATGTCCGAGTGCATCAGGTTAGCCAAGCGACCCATTCCGACGATGTCATGATTCAGTCTTTACAGGTATGCCCATGGCCCTCGGCGCTGGTTTCAAGCTCAAAGACAAGGAGCGAGAAAAGCGCAACGACAAAGACGGATCCAAACACCCACCCCATACTGAAGTTGATGATATGCATCAAATTCATGCAAACGCCAGAGAGCACGCACAAGGAAGCATGCACTCTGAAGACCCATCAAGTTCTGACAAGGCAAACCGCGCCGATGATGTTCTCGTATCTCAGGATCCAGCAAAGCTCAGGCGAAAGTCACACTCACACCACCATACAATACATCGCGCGCAACCTTGGTCATCAATGCTCGATGAGTGGTATTGCAATAGAGCAGTGCCCACTCGCAGCATCAGCTCCTTGCCGGACATGGACATTGATCTTCCAGAACACATAGCCCGTGGTTCAGACACGGGGTCTATTGGGATGGACATCATCGAGGCACGTCGCAATGCAGGACCGTATGAGTTGCTCACGAAGGAGCGAATGATGGGACTATATCTTGCCATATATATCCACCATGACGTTCGTCCTCTCGTGAAAGGTGAGACCGACAAGCTCGTCTTTCTGCTTTTCTAAGCGCACACGCTATTAGGAACATCGAAATCCGTGGTGACAGCTGGCCTCATTGGCGGCCGTGTCGGTAACAAGGGCGCCGTTGCCATTAGTATAAATGTTGCTGGCACAACACTTCTGTTCGTCAATGCTCATCTCGCGGGTACGTGCCTCCTCGTTTTCTAAGAAAGAAACGTGTGGCCTCTAATCTTTGTACTAGCTCATGAGGGCAGGAATGATCACCGTATAGCAGATCTCGCGAAGATCAAAGTACGTCTGAGAGAATTTAAATGGTATAGAAAATTTACTTACGTGCTGACATCTTAGGCCGAGCTCTCTGTAGACGATTATCTCTCGCCCGACGATGAACGTATAATGGCAGAAGGTCTGCCATTTAACATTCATGTGTATGCCTGCTTGACTGATGTCTCGTATGAAGATATAACTGACAGGTTTGACCACACTTTCATCTTTGGTGATCTTAACTTCCGCCTGGACGTAACTCGCCTGCATGCTGACTGGCTGCTGTCACGTAAAGGCGCGTGTGAACCATACATTTCGTTCCATGCGCTGACTGTCGATTGTGGCCACTTACTTTAGAATACGACAAGGCGCTAGCCTTCGATCAGCTCCGTCAGACGATGGCGGAAGGACTGGCGTTCGTGGGGTTTAAGGAAGCGCCCATTGCATTCCCGCCTACATTCAAATACGATGTCGCGCGACGTTCGAAGCGTACACATTCGGCCAAGAGTTCTCGAACTCACTCCAAGAGCAGCCTTTATCATCACGACGATCATTTGCCACGAGATCATGAAGCGGATGCGGGATATAGTACCGGCGCCGGTGCATCCGCAGGGGAGGGCACTCATGAACACGATGGAGACTCATACTCCGCGCTGTCGTCGACCCGCGCATCTGTCCGCTCGCAACATAGCACGCAAAGCGTATTGCCGGGACGCAGGTCGGGTGACTCGCACTCGTCTTGGGCAGCTAAGGTTGCCGTGACCGATGCGAAGCATAAGCTCTGGACAGCGAACGCGGCCCATCGTCTAAAGGAGAAATGTCTTGCTCTGCTGTCCGCCTCGCATACGCAGTCATCACATCGCATCCCGCGGAAGCATTCCCATTCCTCGAAGCGGCGCTCTGTAGCGACAATTCAGAACATAGATCATCACCATGGTCGAGCCCATGGTGATCTGCCAGCGACACCCAGGCGATCAGACGTCGAGGCACACAAGGCTACCCTTCGCATGAACATGAGCACTCCAGAGCTTGTAGGTCGTAGAAGCGCGGATGACGCTGGATCCGAGAATGCTGTCTATGATTCATCTCATAAGAAGCGGGTTCCCAGCTGGTATGACTACCTTGTCCGCGATGATATGTCACTGACGGAGATAATATTGCAGGTGCGACCGCATATTGTGGAAATCGACAATCCACGAAGAGCCGGAACCAGAGGAAACGCCTTTGCAGACAGCTCGCAGCCGAATGACTAGTTTTTGGCACTCTATCAGTCCTGTTCGGAGTCGGAAAGAATCCAGCTCCTCGACACTATCGGCTATACTTCCTTTTTCTGCGACGACGGCCAACACGCTTCGCAGCCCCACAGCGACAGACGGCCAGATCCTTAGTGCTGTCCCCAATGAGTTGCCGTTGCGCCGGACGTCACGACCACGATCAGTCGAGGCCCTACCCAAAGTTAGACTCGTCCGGACGTCCATGACATCTACAGAGACCTCCGGAGGCCGAACGAGCGAAGACGGTGATGGCCATCGCCGCGCGTCAACGTCGGTTCCCCTCATTCAATCAAAGACACTGCCCCCGATTGCGAGTGGTTACAGGCTTCCTGACCAGTTCATTGCATCTCCTATAGAATCGCCCGTCTCTCCACCAGTAGTCTCGCCCATCCCCTTTTCCTCTCGCCTGCGCGATTTCCTCCCTTTCTTCCACCGCCAGGGCTCGACAGATAGTCAGTGGACTCATGAGCCCCATCGGGCAGTCCATCACAAGCCGGGCGACGTAGTTTGCCTCGAATACCGCTCGTTGAACGACCTGGAGATGAGGCGGCTCAGAGGCCGAAGTGACCATCGCCCCGTCATCGGATCATACGCAATATACATCTAGATTTCCTCGCCGTCCCTGACCGCCCATCCTCGGTCCTTGCATCGAGAGCTTTCATCGTAATTTCCGTCTCTGTCTTCTACTTAGTCGTTCATCAATACTCTCCAACTACACGATAGAATACGCATATACGGATCTCAGGCATTTCTCATTGTTCTCTACTTCACGCATCCATCCACCACTAATTAGCTGTAAATTACTAGTGCACGATTCGTGCCGGTTGTTGCTGGGTAGTGTTAATTTGTTTCACCACGGACCGCCTACAGTCGTTGCCGGTCTCAGATCACCGAGGACTACACGCGCCGGAGGTACTTAGAGCACACATTACGTATTGTACAGCTGTAGCAAGCGCTAATACGCTACAAACGAGTAAGATACTGATATGACGAGTGAGCACTAGCCCGCAAATCTACACGAAGAAAGACGATTCCACACAAGTAGAGAAACTGAAAGCGGCAGCAGCGACTGAACGAGAGTCAAAAGTAATCAACACTTGCATGATACATGGCCTACAGGTCTACTCATCGCTTCGGGTGATTCTGTGCAAGCGTTTGTGTCCATTCATTCTCACTGACTTGCACGAGTGAATCATAGGAGGTCTTCTTGGCGCCAGTCCCGTCGGGAGTCGTCTACGGGTTTGTCTCCTGCCTTGACGACAAGCGCCGGCCCTGCCTCCAGAATAATGTCCTCGTCCGATTCGCCGTCGGAGTAATCCTCCTCGTCGTCAGAGAGCATGATTAACCGTACGTCCTTGCCTTTGCTCGGCTCCACCTGCGGGCCCTCCTCAAGTAGGAGGTCGCTCGCATCATCAGTGTAGCGCGCCGCGATACTTTCCGCGTCTGCCTCGACATCAACGACGGTTGCGAGCTCGCTCTTAAAGTAGTATCGCAGGCCAACGGGGATCATGACACCAATAACGACTGCCGTGAGCATGAAGAAATTCTTCCAAGAGATGAGATGGAAGTCGGCCGCGGATGTCATGTCATCGAGGCTGCCGCCGATAGTGGTGTGAATGACAGTCACACCAAGAATACCGAGCCAGGTGCTGATCCAGAAAGGAATGATGCCGATGCCGAGGTGTGGACACAGGACGTTCACGACCCAGTGCGGTGGGAGCGGCGCGATGCGTAGGACGATGAGGTATGAAATGAGGTTGTCCTTCTGCGCGCTGATCTTCTCTGCCCATATATCTGCACGCGCTTTCCATTTGGGCATCGTGAGCAGCGCAGGCCCGAACGCGGCGCTGATGAGATAGCATAGTGTCGCGCCGGAGGCTACGCAAGTGCATGCGAGCAAAAGTGCGCGCGGAACGCCCCACATGGCGCCGCCGAGGATAGAGAGGTACATAGACCCCGGTAGTGAGAAGGCTTGCAGGCTGCATGGGACTGAGGTCAGTGCGCGGGCCGAGCGCGCGTAGAGAGGGGCTCCGCTCACAAGAGGTAGGTGTTCACATAGCAGATGATGATGCGGTAGGGATAAATATCACGGTATTTCTTAAGGAGAGTATTGAGCGCCTGCAGTTGCGCAAAGGACTTTGGGACACGAAGGTCGGGGCGATCCTCCCTGATGGACGGTGAGACATTCAAATCGAGCCCGAAGCAACGAAAGTAGCGATGCTCACTCGTCTAGTGTTGGAAGGGCAAACCAGAGCGTCCCTCCGAGAAAGGCTGTGCTCAATATGAAGACCGCGGCCATCTTGAGAGTGGCATAGAGGAGGATGCGGCGGTTGGAGGGCGGGGCGGGAGGAGTGGTGCCATAAGACGGCTCGTCGGAGTCGGGAGCAAGGAGCGACGTACGGGCGGTGGGCGAGGGCATATCATGGACAGTAGCTAGCGAGTAGGATGATCTGTTGTCGTGTCTAAGACTGTCTCTGGATGATGTGCGCATGGCGGGCAACTGCAGAGGCGAAGATGGGACTTGGTGGGAGCATCTCCGAGCGAGGCTGAGACCGGCCATACTGCTCCCCGTGGGAACATCATCCTATTCGGGCCACCGGACTCGTTCGGTCACACCACTCCTTGTGCATTGCATCCCGCGTCAAGACCCAGTTGACGATTGTTCGATGGGTGGACGAACAAGCAATATTGACGGAGAACATTGTTGCAGCGCACAATGCTCGAGCGGATTGTCGCCTTTGGGCCGTGAGAAATAGACCCTTTTTGGCGTGTAGGGGAGGCTCACCACTGCGATTGCAGCCTCCAATTGCAAGCCTCGCGCTCGTCGCTCAGGGCGCGAGCGCATCTGAATCTTGCAGTGTACGAGTCAAATATAGTAACTATCGTAAAGCTGCAGTATTAGATGAGCTACGTGATAAGTGTGAGAGCAAGACGGAGAAAGCGCTGTGATTGGCTGGAGGCGCGCTTGCATTGAAGAGGAGGGTTTGATAATCATCGTCGACATCGTCCAACGCCTGTCGCCGTCGCCTCTTGCGTTCACCACGACGTTCTGAACGATGACCCACCTCCTCCCACCGCATCCCGACCTCAACCTCGCCCAATCATCTCTCCAGACTGCGCTCCAGATAGACCCTTCTCAGCAACAGCAAGTTTCGCAGGGCCCTCCTCTGCCACCACAGCAAGCGCCGCCGCCGACGTCGCGCAAACGAAGAAAGGCGGACGGCGATGAGGCGCCGCATCCAGCAGAGCCACGTCGTCTGCGGCGTTCACACGAAGCATGCGCACGCTGCAGGAGCAAGAAAATTAAGGCAAGTCCCGCCGGGCGACACCGACGGCAAATTCCCGTCCTCGCCTCCGCCCGCGCCCGCTATATTCTCTAACTAACTCTCTCCTTGCCCTCGCTCTGTAGTGCGACTCCAAACATCCGCGATGCACAGCGTGCGTGACCGCCGGCACCGTCTGCCAGCAGGAGGACAGACATCGCCAGACCCTTACCCCTCGCGGACATACCGAACGCATCGAGCGGCAGCTTCTTCAGTGTGATGCGCTTCTCAAACGGCATTATCCTGGCTTTACTCTTGACAATCTTGACGAGATCTGTGCCCGCGAGGGCATTGAGGTCGATGCTTCAGATCAGGCCCTTTCACAGACTTTCCAATTTGCACAGAATCCTCCTCCTGGTCCGAGCTCCCGTCCTTTTCCTCTGCGCACAGAAGTGCCCCAACCGCCCCCCGGCGGTTCCCCCCCAAGGGCGTACGCGCCCTATGGACCCCCTCACGGCCAGCCAATGATGCCCTATCCGGGTCATATGATGCCTTATCCTCCTCCAGGAGCGCCCTACGGCCCTCCTCCTCCCCACATGCCCATGCAGGGTCCTCCTCATCCGGCTTACAACCCGCACCCGTATCCTCCGTTCCAGTATCCTCTGCAGCCGCACCCAGGTATGCAGCGACCACCTTCGGCTCATGACATTAAGGGCCAGGACCCCCTTTCTCATGACTTGTCTGATACCCGTGTATGCAGCCTCGCTTTCCTCATCAGCTTCGCGGACTGATAGACTTCCCTAGGCACTGGCCAAGACTTTTGGCGTCGATGTGGAAATTGTCGCTGGCTTGAAGCTGCCAGCACCAGACAAGGAGGATCTCGCGGTAGGCTCAAGTGGTTTGACTTCAGGACGAGATCGCGACCCAGTAGAGCCCTCTACACCTCGAGATCCGACCAAGTGGGTTTCCGTTCAAGTACGTCGCAACAGCGTCACTGCTCCTCCCCCGCCCGTTACCAATGGTGCCCCTCCTGCCGCCGACACCATCCACGTCTGGCTGCCGAAGGACCGCAACATGGTGCAGAAGATCCTGGACGTGTACTTCACTCGGCTCAACTTCCACCGGCCGGTGTTTGTGCGCTCCGAGTTTGAGCAGACGCTGAACGCGCTGTATGACGGGCGGCAATTGCTCCATGATGCAGGCTACATTTGCAGCGTGTACCTTGTTCTCGCGCTTGGCACTCTGAGCGAGCTCAATCACCGCGCGAGCAGCATGGAGAAGGAGGGCGGGCAGGTTGCTGCAAGTCCGTCGTCGCCGCGGAGGCTCATGCCTGCTGACTGGCCGGAACACGAGGAGTTCTTCGAGCGCGCGCTCTTTGTCAAGCCAGATCTTCGTGTCAGCCTGTCAAGCCTGCAGGCGCTCATAGTGCTGCATTGGTATTTGTACACCGAGGTTAGTGCACTTCAGCGGGCGTCTCATCGAGGTGCAGTCTAACTTAGGTACGGGCTTTGTTATCGCTAGCGTCAAGGACGGACCTTATGGCGCCTCGTGGGCAGTCTTGTGCGAATCGCCATTGAGCTGGGCCTTCATCACGACCCAACGTCGCAGGGGAATACCTTCTCCGAGGAGGAGTGTCAGTTGCGCATCCGGCTGTGGGCGATCGTGCTTCTGCACGACCGTGGTACATCAATTCTACTAGGCCGCCCGCTCGCTATTGCGCCGTCCGACTCGAACACGCCGCAGCCGTCGCGGACCAAGTCGACAGACGTGTCGGAGCACTTTGTGCTGTCGGCGCCGATCGCAGAGATTCAGGCGGACATCATCAACTCGCTGTATGCGCCGACGCGGCAGAGCGCGGATGCGATCATGCGCCATGCGACGCGGATAATCAAGAGCATGGCGTCGTTCAGGCAGCAGCTGCCGGAGAATTACCAGTGGTTCTTTGGCGGGACGCAGATGTGGCCGCTCGAGCGTAGGACGAAGCTAGTCCAGGACATCACGGAGGATCAGGGACTGACGTTGTTGAAGATTGGGATTACAAGAATCCTCCTCTTGCGAGCGCTGTTCAGCTCGAGCGAGCTTGACTACAATCCGCGTCTGCAAGCTTTGACAGATGGTGAGTCAATTGCTTATGATTCGTCGCATAGTAATTTTATGGATTGTCGCAGCTATCATCACGTCGCACAACATCATCATCGTGCATAACCAGCTTATTTGTTTCCCGGACATCGCGTTCTTCGTATCACCCATCCCGCTCCACATCGCCGCGATGGTCATCCTATACGGGCATATGTCGCACTGCCACCCGATCCCGCATCAGGTTGCGCTCGAGGACGTGTGGATGGCGCTCGACATGCTTCCGAGCTTCCGCTGGCGATGGGAGCGCAAGGACTTGAACGGCGGACACCCGTTGATCGCGGCGCTCGCCGAGAAGGTGCTGAACGTGAACCTGCACCAGGTCGCGCCGACGACCGCGCCGGTGCTGATCCCGGAGTACGTGTGGGACGAGAAGATCCTGTCGCCGAAGGGCGTCGTGCAGGCGGGCGCGCCACCGGCGAGCCCGTCGATCGGGCCTGCGCAGTACGGGGGCGCGCCGGCGTCGCCGTTCAGTGGGCAGCCGCCGAGCGGGAACATGAGCAAGGGCAGCCCGGGTCGTGCGAACATGGGGTGCACGCCTCGCACGCCGGTGGATAAGAAGCTCGCGGAGGTGCCTGCGGGGTTGTTCTATCCCTTCTATCCGGAAAACCAGAACGTCGCGACGGGCGCTGCTGCTGCTGCTGCCGCCGCCGCCGCCGCCGCGTCGACGAGCGGGAACGGCGGGCAGGACTTTAACAATTTGTTGGCGGCTGCTGCGGCGTCGCAGCCGATAGGGACGTTTGGGTACCAGCCGTCGCATGAGTCGTACATGCTGGAGGAGAAGGATACGTCGATTACGAACGGGGCGATGCAGATGTGGGTGAGTAGGTAATTCGCTGTTGGACTGCTGGTCGTCAGGGCTGATGGTGGTTCGTGCTGCAGCATGTCCAGAGACCAGTAGCGCAGCAGTTCACTGTTCAGCCTCAGCAGCAGGGATGAATGTGGGTGTGGGTAGTTCGCAGTAGGTCATCACTCCCTACTCATCAATACGATCAAGATGATGTGAAAGTTTGCTTCGACGACGCTATTTTGTGTATAGTAGTATGAGTACGCGTCCGGGTCGGGTTCGTTCGTCGCCTTGTCGCCTTGTCGTTTTTCTTGCATATCCAAGTGGTATGCGCAGTGTATGTATTATGTACAACGCACGCCGCACGTGCGGGCATGAAATACAGACGGTTCTATGTAGAGGTGCACGTACAGAGACAACGCAACAGGGGAGGTATCTAAGGTAGGGTGTGGGCGGCACATATACAAGAGCAGGGGGTTCTAGAGATACATGCGAGGAATATATATGTGAGGAGGGGCCGGGGAGGAGGGGGGGCGTGCATTTGTTGTCGACGACGCTATTTTGTGTATAGTAGTATTAGTACGCATCCAGGTCGAGTTCGTTTATCGCCTTGTCGTTGTTGTAATTGCATATTCAAGCGGTATGCGCAGTGTATGTATTATGTACAATGCACGCCGCACGTGCGGGCGTGAAATACAGACGGTTCTATGTAGCGGCGCGCGTACAGAGACAATGCAACAGGGGAGGTATCTAAGGTAGGCTGGATGTGGACGACACATATACAAGGAGCAGGGTGTTCTAGAGATACATGCAAGGAATATATAGGGAGGGGCGGGGGGCAGGCGTCACCTGAGTATGCGCTCCATCCGCTCGAGAACGACGACGAGCCCGCGGAGGAGGCCATATATGCGCGCGTTGAGGAGGGCGGTGCGCTGCCCGTCGTCGGTGTCGGTGTCGGCGCCACGCTCGCGCATGACGGCGTGGTCGACGACGATGGGAAGGGCGACGGTGAGGCGGGCGAGGCGGAGGGCGAGGCAGGAGCGGCGGCGGAGGTCGAAGTAGGAGAGCGCGCGGAGGGTGCGCTGGACCTCGAGGAGGTGCATGAGCTCGTCGTGCAGCGCGAGGAGACACGTGCGGCAGGCTGCGCGGGAAGGAGGGTCAGTTGAGAATAGGGATGATGGGGTGGGGGAGGGGGGCTTACTGAGCGCACGTTCGCGGATGGATTGGAGGGTGAGGAGGACAGAGTTGATGCCGTCTTCGCCGAGGCGCAAGGATGGGTTCATGTCGTTCACCGCGCCTGCACATACACGTACGCACCATCAGCACCCACACTCTCTCTCATAATCATCACAACGGAGGAGCTCACTGAGCAATGTGCGCACGACGTCGAGGTCGCCCTCGAGGAGCTCGTTGAAGACGCTGATGACGACGCCGCGGAAGGTGTCCTCGGGGGGCGGGCGCGGGCGCGCGGCGAACATGTCGTAGGAGGCGGAGGAGGAGGCGCGGTCGTAGGCGCGTTTGGAGGCGGGTTGGGAGAGGACGTCGTAGGCGACGGAGACTTTTTGGAAGGCACGGGTGGCGAAGGGGTTGTTGTGGAATTTGCTGGGGTGGAGGTTAGCGAATGTTAAGGAGGGAAGTATTTTTTGAAGGTATGTCGTGCATCGTAGATGAGTGCGGGTCGCGATGAAGCACTCGCAGAGCACCGTAAATACGCTACTCGTAAGCCATTGAAGTGCGCTTCCGCCACGTCCGCGCAGGCTATTTTTCTAGAACAATTCACCGCTACAGCGCGATCGAGACTCTGAACTCGTGCCATGGCCGTCTGCACTTCGATGGCAAATCAAATGTCGGAGCAGTGAGCTGCTCTATGCCTCTTCAAGGCAGTGCCGTGGTGGGGTAGGCCAAACGTGGAGCATCCTGGGCCCGAACTCCGAGCGGAATCCGGGTGCCTGGGGTGTGCCAAGGGAGAGCGCGAGGAACACCCGCCCGGCACGCACTGCGTGACGAAAACACAGAGCAAAACAAGCGAAGCAAGATGCTAAGGAGAGGGTGGGTCTGGGTGGGTGGGAAGAAGACGATGCGTGGTGTCGCGGAGACGAGTTGGGAGGTGGTGGTCGCAGGACAAAGCGCGCTGGTGGCTGCGTCACGCGTTCGTCCTGCGACACGCCGTCCACGAGTCTTGGGATTCGATGGGACGGTGTCACGATCGAATCCCCGCATATGAACGAACGCATGGAAGCCCGAGAAGTATCCGACGGGCATTATGGCCTCCACGCGTTCAAACACACGCATACATCCATCACGCAGACAATACACAGAAGTAGTGGTCGCAGGACAAAGCGCGCTGGTGGCTGCGTCACGCGTTCGTCCTGCGACATGCCGTCACGAGTCTCGGGATTCGATGGGACGGTGTCACGATCGAATCCCCGCACATGAACGAACGCATGGAAGCCCGAGAAGTCTCCAACGGGCATTACGGCCCACTCCACGCGTTCAAACACACGCATACATCCATCCCGCAGACAATGCACAAGAAGTAGTACTCACTCTGGATGGCATACCCTGCTCCGAGAGAGATATGCGCGGCGAAGAGCGAGCTTATCTATACGCGACGTCCGCTGCAGGCCAAGGATCCGGTACAGGTCATCCTGCTCCAAAATATCCTGTATGACTGTCCTGTTTTGGGTGCGCGGCGCGGTGGACGATGAAGGTGTCGGCGGGGCGTCAGTGTCGTCCGAATCGGTGTGATCTGCAGATCGGAGGGAGGGGTCCCATGCGATGTGGCGGAGGGCATCGCCGTCGTCGGGCTCGTCCTCGATGGGGAAGTGGAAATAGGACGTCGCTGGGGGGGGGTCGGGGGGGGGTGGTGGGGGGGGGGGCGGGGCTCACCTGAGCCGAGGACGTAGGAGAGCATTGGAGAGTGGATGGCGATCATGCACGGTTGCAATGCATTTCCATGTGCGTGCATGTGATTTTCCGTCAACAGTCTAGGGCATCGATCATCACATCGAGTTCGATCGACGTCCTCTACCGCCGGCGTGATCTGCTCGACTCCGATATCTCCCTACAAATTCCATCCACTCTTCCCCGCTTCTCCGACAGGGTTGACACGGCCTGCTCACTTGCATTAGCGTCATCCACGCGCTTTCTACGTTTACGCTGACGACAGTGGCGCTCGCGTTCAGCTCCAGCTCGCCACCCGACTTCCGCAAGCGTAGCTGGGAATGCCAAGCCCCGAGTCGCCCATCCAGCTGTCAGAGAATCATTCAGCAAGACACGCACCGACTAGAATTTGAGTATGAGCCTATCCGGACAGTATATTTCAATGGTAGAATAAAGTCTGGATGGGCTGCAATAGACTGATAAAGCGCAAGAAGCTCCGCGTCGAGCCTAGAGCTGCACCTTTCGACCACAGCACTCAAGACCAACACGAAATCGTGGGATCGCGTGAAAGTGTATGGTATCGTTGAGACACTTGCCAACATATAGGCGTCATCCTTCGATCAAATGGTGAGAACATCACCGAGTGACGAGCGTACAGGACGGTCAGGACTACTGTGATGCACGAGCCAGCGTAGCATCCTGGAAGATACATCTCATGCAGCCATGGTCCTTGCTGCTTTCGTGGTGACAGCTGTACCTCATACCTGTACCACGCAGGGCGCTTACTTAGTCTGAGTTCATCGTACTACATATACGCATCGCATATCCCGTGTTGCTTCTATCGAGTATGCTGAATGCATCGGCAAAGTCGCAGCGTTTTATGCATTGTTCAATCAAATGCCGTCAACTTATTGCGAAGTGACGGTCTCATGCGCAGTTGTCCGCGGCCCAGCAACGAAAAGTGAGTATGGTCATCGACTAAACACAGGCCACCCGAACGAGGTGGATGAACGCGTCACGATTCCCGGCAACTGAGTGCACGGATGCTCACGTCCGATACCCCTGCTGGCGAGCACTGCACGCAAGCCCACATTTCGAACGTGTCGTGAACATATAGCTGTACGCGAAGAACGTCATACACTCAAGCAGAGATGGTAACCTCGACCTCGACACCAGGCTCCAGACTGATGCTCGTCTACCATCGAACATATCAGCCACAAGCAACAATCAAACAGAAATGACTGTAACGCACGATCTGCTTCACGATCTCGCTCGACGAGTGCAGGTCGATGAGGCGCTTGTGGATCTTGAGCTCATAGCGGTCCCAGGTCTTCGAACCCTCACCGCAAGGCTGGCATGGCAGAGATGGGTGAGCATCGGCACTAAGGGCAGATGAGACGACAGGCACGTACCGTCTTGCGGGTGGTGATTTTGAGCACCTTGGTCGGGAGGCGTACGGGGCCCTTGACACGGAGCTGCTTGTCCTTCGCACGATCAATCAGCTCTTTCGAAACTACCCGTATATGAACTTGTCAGCATCGTACAGCACCGTACGCGTTGGCGAGGCTATGCTACGCACACTTCTCGAGGTTCTTGACGTTGCTGCTCGTGAGCGTGATGCGGATCTTGTGGATTTTGGCTCCGGGGAGGGGCGCGCCCGTCGCATCGTATTCTTTCTCGCCTTTAGCGACGTAACTCATCCTTGTCTTTATGAGCGGAGAGTCAGAAGGTGACTAGTGCAAGCGTGATCAGTATGGGAGGCGGGAGGCGGTAGGGCGACGCGCACGTACCTGAAGGCGTGGATTGTGGATGGAGAGAAAATAGAGTTCACCGAAAAGAGTTCTGAGGCTCGGCAAATGCCGACTCGGAGTGATGGATTGATCAGGCATTGGGCGCTTGTCAGCTGTGCTCTCTCTCACCACACGTACCACTTATGCAAGGTATGTTTACACGATATCACGCCTTTTCAGCTCTCACAATCTACTCTACATAGGCTTTAACAAGTATTACCCACCCGACTATGATGGGGAAAAACACGGCAGCCTTAACGCTTACCGAGGTGCGCATGCTAGTCCATCCCCCCTCTGGTCTATGCTGACTGTACACTATACACCGCTTCTTAGGCAAACATGCACTCGGTGATCGTGCACGCAAGATTGGCCAGGGCATCCTCATCGTGCGCTTCGAGCTCCCATTCAATATCTGGTGGTGCGTCCATATACCTTCCTCTCCGTGCTCATTCTCGAACTCAACCTTGAACTCCGACATCAGTGGAACATGCAACAACCACATCGGAATGGGCGTGCGCTACAATGCGGAGAAACGCAAGATCGGAAGTTACTACTCGACGCCGATCTACGCATTCCGGTGCAAGTGCCACCTGTGCGACGCGTGGTTTGAGATCCAGACGGATCCGAAGGTGCGAGGCTAACCTCTTCTTTATCGTCTTGGTGGTTGATCGGATGCCTGGGCGGATTGATGCTAGAACACGAGGTATGTCGTGACGGAGGGCGCGCGACAGAAGGACGAAGAGTGGGATCCGGCGGAGAACGGCGGGTTCGCCGTGCACGGTAAGTACAAACGTTCATGAACACTCCATGTCCCCATTCTGATCACCGCCTCAGACACGGACCCTAACCAACCGCCCCCCGACCCGCTCGCTACGCTCGAGAAGACAACCGCCGCCGAGGCGCACCTCACCCAGGTCGCCCTCCCACGGCTCACCGCGCTCCAATCCTTCTCTGACAGGCGCAACTCGGACCCTTACTCCCTCTCGCGCATCGTGCGCAAGCGGTTCCGCGAGGAGAAGAAGGTGGAGGCGGAGGCGCGCGCGGAGGAGGAGGACGTGAAGGCGCGGTTTGGGCTGCCTGGGGAGCTGAGGCTCGAGCGGGAGAGCGAGGAGAGCAGGCGTGAGGCGAAGGAGAGGTGGAGGGAGGAGCGGGAGCGGAGGATGGGAGAGGGCGTGGGAGTGAAGAGGAGGAGGGTCGAGGGCGTGGGAGCCGCGGGGATCTTGCCGCGGAGCAAAGCGAGGTCGATGGGAGGTGTGGCGACGGGCGGGGCTGTGTCTGAGCTCAGGGCGAGGATATTGGAGAATACGGCGAGGCGGGCGACTGCAGTAGCGGGCTCGAGTCGGTCAAGGCCTTCGGATGGGGGCCTGCAGAAGGGCTTGTCATTCAGACGGTAGGCGGGTGGTTGGTGGACTTGTATTTGTACGCATAAATATCTAGATACCCTCAGTCACTGGTGTAGCAGTATCGCTGATATATTAGTAGAGCCATGATGAATGATTGATTGAGCGCCCGGCAGCATCAAGTCGATCTTGATCAGGGCTCCGAGTCAATGCTTTCTCCCGCATCCATGTTCACTGTCTCCCCTCCGCTGTAGACAGTGTTTCACGATGACCATCCCACCCGCATCCTCGCACACTCCCACCCCGATTACTGTCTTCACTGGCTTCCTCGGCGCGGGCAAGACGTCGATCATCCTCTCGCTATTACCGCAGCTGCCCCCGGACTACCGCGTCGTCCTGCTCAAGAATGAGTTTGGCGACGTTGAGGGTGCGTGCATTGACGCTGCCTTTGAGATGGTGCTGATAGCTATGCAGTGGACAGCCAGCTGGCGAAGCAGTCGAGCTTGGCGGCGGTGAGCGAGATTCTGAACGGATGCATGTCAGTGCGCGAGGACGCTCAGGCGCGAGTCGATGCAGGCTGATAGGCTGCAAGGTGCTGCGTTCTGGTCGGGCAGATGAAGACGGCGTTGCTGGAGATCCTGGGTGCGTGCCAGCCTCTCGTATTCCTTACATCTTTCATGCTGACTTGCATGTGTATTTGCGCAGAGAAGTACCGCCCGGACAGGATCATCATCGAGTGCTCGTCAGTAGTCTGTCTCCCTTCACAGTCTCTCGTTCACTGAGTAGATAATGTAGGGGCTCAGCCTTCCCCGCGACGCTCGCTTTCCAGATTCGCGAGCTCGAACGCGAGACGGGCGGGGAGCTGAAGCTGGACGCGATCGTGACCGTCATCGACGCGGAGAACTTTGTAGGGTACGAGGACTCATCGCCCACCGCGCGGATGCAAGCGAGCTACACGGACGTCATCCTCATCGTGCGCCCCCTTCTCTTGTCATTACCCGCATTCGCACTCACGGACATCTATCTCCCGCAGAACAAATCGGAGCACGTCTCAGAGCGCGCGCTGGACATCCTCGTCGATCATCTGAACACGCTGAACGACCTGACGCCGAAGGTGCGGTGCAAGGGCCGAGAGGGCGTCGACCCTGGGCTGATCTTCGGGCTGGACTCGAAGCTGTTCCTCGGAAGCACAGACGCGGAGAGCGCGGAGGTGCCGCATCATGAGGAGGTCGAAACGATCACTGTGTACGCTGGCTCGGGCAATCTACACACGCACACGCATGGTGCGGACTGCGGGTGCACGAGCGATCACGACGAGGTGCACCCCGCGCCAGAGCCGATCGACGAGGCACGGTTAGAGGAAGCACTTGGGAGCCTGTCGAAGGAGACGGTATGGCGGGTGAAGGGGTTCGTGCGGCTCTCGAAGGGACCGCGGATACTAAATTGGGCGTTTGGGCGGTACGACGTACTCGAGACGGGCGCGGGCGGGCTGAAGGATGGCGATGGACTGCTGGTGACGGTCATGGGTGAGCGCGGGGAAGTGAGGCGGGCTGCGCGGAGGTTTGCAGAGAGGCTTGGGGCGCGGGTGGGTTGAGCGTGGGCGAGGTAGCGAGACAGAGTAGAGATTATGACGCCTCATGTTCAATATTCAATGCTTTCGTTTGAGTCACAAGTAAAGTTGGGGTCGTGCTTTGCGTGAATGAAGAGTTCACCACGGGGCCCAGGATCTTTGCGCGCCATTGCTCACATTGGCCACTGCAGTAAGCTTCGAGACCTTAGCACCGTTACCTACTTTAATAGCAATTCTTCCGAATTACATGACACGTTGGTTATACGAGTTTCAGTAGAATTGATGTTTTGTTTTGTGAGAATGAGGAGGCGCGCGACGGGCGTCAGAACGCGTAGCAGCGGGTGATTGAGACGCGCGACGCGCTCACGGCCTTGTCCGTGGCCCAAGACTACCCACGGCGCCCTTCGCCGACTCGCGGTGTCTACCATTTGCACGGCTGTCTGTCGCTCTAGATATTCTGTGCTCACCGTGCTCGGCGCTGTGCTCGACTTTCTGTTAACACTTCTCCTGAGACTGGGACATCATGTCTTCTCGCCCCGAAGCCGGGAGACCTGCTCGGGTGTTGCTCGATGCTTTCTACATAGCACGAGCCCACACCATACTCGCGTACGCGGCTTTTCTCGGTGCTCTGTTCATAGGCTGTGCTCTGCATTACAAGAAAATAGTGAAGAATGGCATTGCCGGATACCCTGAAGAGTGGTTCCCCTCAGTGTCTGCAACGTGAGCGGGTGCTTCTTGCCGATTGGTTTCATCGGAATTAATCACTACCAGTATTGGCGACTGGTATCCGGAGCGGAACGTCTTCCAGATTCTGATCGCTCTGAATTCTGGTATGTCATACGATGGCGTCTCGCGGAATCGTTCGACTAGAAATCCTTTGCAGGACCGCGACTCGCGCTGGTTCTCATGCAGTACTACCTCCATCGAAATTCAAATTCCTGGCTCCCGGGGCTCGTTATGGTCGCTGGCGTGATCAGAACGCTTTCCTGCGGCGGTTGGGTGTATATCACCTCCACAGATGACCACGATGCACATGATGTCCTGATGATTGGATATATTGTTCTCAACCTACCATGGATGTTCGGGTCAATTGCGAATACTCCCGCGCAATATACGCACGCTCTGCGCAGGAGGTGAGTTGCGTTCTTCAGATTCATGTTCTGCACTCATTGCCGAGAAGACGCCAGATGGCCACAGCGTGCGTGAATGAGCGCCCAAGAACTCGATTACAATGATTCACTTTCCGTTTAGGTTCTTTGTAGCAATGATCCCTATGATTTACTTTTTCATCCAGCACAAGGTTCACCGCATTCCAGGAGGTCCGTCTCACGATTCCCTTCCTGAACTATCCATATCTCATCCGACGACCAACAGCATACACAAAATACAGCTTCTTCGAGTGGGGACTGATTTTCTTCGATGTGATGTTCGACTCGGCCGTTGAGCTCGAGGTCAAAGCGGCCAATCTGCAGGTACGCACGACGATGATTTGCGCCAACAATCGAAGCCACCCTCATCAACCACCGCGCTCCAGATCGCGATGGGCGTATCCCTCGATAGAAGCCCAGAGCCAAATGATATGTACATACAGGTCCATCGGCTCGCATGATGAATTTTGATGACCTTCGTCCTGTATAGCGTGCCCGCCCAAACAGCAGACGCCTTAGCCGCCCGCGTGACCTCCGTCTCCTCCGAAGTCGAGAAAGTAACCCAAGTGATCACCAGAGCAGATAGCTCTGAGGCTGCGGTTGTTTCTCCCGCTGGCTCGTCCCTAGACCAACTGAGATCCTCCGCGAACTTCCTGAGCGATCTATACCTGTGTATGTCCGTTGCTTCAATGATCGTGCATTGATCGTGACACACTGCACCCACCAGCCTTCATCTACTGGTCGATATTCACCTCGCTCACGCCGACATTCTTCTACTTCTCCGTTTGGGAGCTCGCTATCGCGGGACACGAACTGTCTCTCCTCTCCGTCCTTTCTCCCGTGCTGCTCGGCGTGCGGCCCTTCCAACGATGGTGTCGCACGCGCGCCGGGCGCACCGCGCTGCACGTCCTGTCGCTGGTGGGCTTGGGCGCGTACAAGCTGGAGAGCCCGCTGCATCGGCTATTTGCCGTGGCGTTCGCCACTATGGTGGTGAATGTGGGCGCTGCGGTCGATTGGACTGACACGACAGATAAGGGCGTGGGCTATCATAGCATGCGTGAGTTCGCGTGATTCTGATTCTTCGTCGCGTTTGGTGTCATACGAGTTGCTTGTGTAGTGATGGGCTTAGGGTTCCTGCTGTCGTCTATTGCAAAACATGCGAACCACTCCAACAATCCAGGTAGGTTTATAGTACGTTAACCGAGACGACGATGCATTACCCAAGTTATATACAGTGTGGCCCATCGTCAACGAGCAATCTGGCGGATACAACAAGACCGGCCTCCTCCTCGCCGTCCTCGCCATCTGCAACTACGCCATTCGAGCAAGCACCCCTCCAAAGGCGAAAACGCCGGCCGTCCAAAGCACGCACGAGTCTACCGGGTCCTGGCTACGCAACGCCATCTCCCTCGGCACGCTCATCTTCACCCTCCACTGCCTGATCGCGGACCCCAGCACGCTCATCGCCTGGTCCTGGACCGGCTACCCAATCAAAGGCCCCGTCCCGCACCTACATGGCTCCCTAACGCACGTCGCGCAGGCCCTCGGGCTCTGCCTCCCCCTCCTCCTCCCCTCGCTCTCCAACCCACTCTGGTTCGCGTGCGGCTGCGCCAGCGCATACGCGCTGTACGCGCTATCCGACTGGCCGGGGTACGCGGGCGGGCTGGGCTTCGCGGTGTTCCTCATGTCGATCACCCCCGGGGTGCTGCAGCGCACGGCGCGCACGGGCCATGTCGCGAAGACGTACTTTGTCGCGTGGTTCGTAGTGATCGTGTTCTATTTTGCAAGCGTTTTCACGGTGGCGTATGCGTTCGTGCCTGGTGGGGTGTACTTCCGGGAGCGGACGGACCTGTGAGTGTCGGTGCCGTCGTTTCGTGGCCGATCCGCGCTGATCTTATTCTGTTCTAGTGTACTGCTCGCACAGATGGCCGGGATAGCTCTGGCATTCGACTGGTCGCGCGGCAAGGTGTCCGCTTCGCGTGTCAGCGTGACAAGACCTGTGCGCTCCGCCAGCTTCGCTGCGCTCTCTCTTCTTTGCATGCTCTCGCTGCTCGTGACGATGTACAGGTGGCCAATGGCCGTTGTTCAGCCGCATCGTCCCGGCTCGCGCCTCGTCCGTGCGGGGATATGGACGGTGCACTTCGGCATCGATAATGAGGGGAGGGACAGCCAGCGGCGCATGAGAGACTTGATCAGGTGCGTGTGTGCGAGTGTGGTCGGGACGGCGGAGGCTGATGCTGATGCTGATCGGCGGTAGGGATATGGAGTTGGACGTCGTCGGGCTGCTGGAAACGGACCTACACGTGAGTGCGCCATTCATCCTGGGGATACGTACTGAGGAGATATTCTGCACGATGTGATAGCGGACAGTGTTTGGCAACCGAGACTTGTGGGTGGTTTCATGCTTACAGACTTTCGATGGCTGACCAGACACAGAACGCGGGTCATGGTGGAGGAGCTCGGCTTCGTGAGTTTCGCGATGTTCTTCCGATGTTAAATGCAGGCTCCTCACCCAAAAGCAGTATGTCGATATCGGTCCTGGCCCGAACAAGCACACATGGGGAGCGGTCCTCCTTTCCAAAGTGGGTGCGATACTTTAATCGTTCGTCCATGTCTTGACCCCACGTATCGCAGTTCCCGATCATCAACTCGACTCATCATCTGCTCCCATCTCCCGATGGCGAGCTTGCTCCCGCTATAGAGGCTGTGCTGGACATGTACGGCACACCGGTGACGGTGGTCGTGGCGCATAACGGACAAGGTCATTCATGATGGCTTTCGTGGTGATTGGCTGTCCTGATTGTCTCATCTCAGAGGAAACACCGCTGGATCGCGAGCTTCAAGCTATAGAGTTGGCTCGCATCATGTCGAAGTCATATCCGGATCCTGTTTTGTATCTCGGATATGTAGTCACGCAGCCACTGGCACAAAGGCGTATGTATCTGCCGTTTGTACTGTGCTCTGTGATGCTGATGTTTTCCAAAGCTGCGCCCTATGAGATCATGGTAACTGACGGCCGTGTGCACGACATCGACGAGACAGATTGGGATAGATGGTATGAACCTTGTCATGCTCCCTACTTCAGCTGAATGACGCCGGGAGCAGGTGCGAATACATATTCTACCGCGGCCTCTACCGCACCGCGTACGCTCGCGTGTCGAGGAGCACTATCACAGACACGGAAATGCAAATCGGACAGTTCGTCGTACCGCGACCAGAGTCTGGTGCAATCGTAGATGACCATGATTCTCGATACCTCCGGACATGGAAGGAAGAGCTCCCGCCAGACCACGTATGTCGTGTGCTTTGGCTTGGCCTGTACATGGTTGCTAAAACAGTATGTGACGGCAGTGGTTCCCTATGGAATACTATCACGAGACCGGGGGCGTAAGAGGACACTTCTACCATGTCTTTGATACGGTGCGTAGGTCTTCCGTTTCAGCAGCGCTCTCTGACGACATCCACGCAGCCTCTGTACTACAAGCTTCCGGAGGGTGTTGCGTTGTAATCGAAACTAATAGTACTATATCAGGACACACCATATTGTTGAACTATCTATGTATTCGGCCATCGTCATTGTCTTCCCCGTTGTTCTCGTCGACGTTATCATCGCTACCAGACTCCTCATCATCCTCGCTCTTCTCTTCCTCGCTCTCCTCGCTCTCGCTTTCCTCGTCTTCCTCTTCCTCGTCTTCCTTTTCTTCATTGATATCTGCATAAAACTGATCCAGATCCGTATAAGTTCCCTTGGCCCCATCCTGGCGGCCGAAGGAACCAGAAGGAGGGGTCCCGTCAGTAGGAGTCAGGACCACGGGTGAGGTTCTGGCAGTGATGGAGCGCGGCCCTACTCCCTGCGAGGATATTTGTGTGACTGCAGGCATGGGTGGCACGTCATCCTCGGAGTCGCGTAGAGAAGGCTCTGTGCCCTCTTCGAGCCAGTCAGGGAGGCGGCTTTCCATGGATTCCTTGCCAGTGATGCCTCCCAGAGTGCCAAACGGTAGCCGCTCCTCATCTACGCTGACACATGTCATCATCCGAAATGCAGGCCACAGTGCAGATGCATACCATGTCTAATATCTTCTGATAAGCCGAGCTTGCCTTCGAACAACACCATACGAACCTGCTCTCGCCGAAGTGTGACGCCTCCTGGATCCTCGTACGACTCTCCATCATGTGCCACAGCGGCATTCACACCCGAGAGAAGCGAGCTGAGCATGCGAGCACGGTCACGTACATCAAAGTTCAAGTCGTAGCGTGCCAGAGAGAACACATAGCGACTGAGCAAATCAAGAGTGCGATCGGTAGGGGACAGTACGAGCAGCTTCGCAACGAGGGTCAGAATCTGCAACTTCACGGTGGGGGTCTGTCACAGGCATACTGTGTCAGCTGAACGCAATGCCAACCCATGATACACACCTCCTGCGCAAACGACTTCGCAGTCTTGCGGAGAACATCTGGTGCCCACGGCGTTATACCGTCTATGTGCGTTTCTTCGATTCCGTTCCGCTGCGGGTCAGCGGCGGCGTACTGACCCACCAGCCAGAGCACGCACGCTCGAGCTTGCGGATGGTGGATCTCATCAATCTTCCAGGCGAGACGAGCGATAATAGAAAGCGGTGACGTTGATGGACTACCAAACATGCCAAAAGCCGCGTTGCTCTCCTGCTGCAGGCGAATCTGTACTAGAGATTTCAGAACGAGCACTGCGTTCGTTACAACAACGTCTGGCACAAATCGCAATCAGCTTTGAATGGTCGCTGGGTGAAGAAACACCAGAAGGAACGAACCATGTTTGCTTTGGATGAAAGACATGAGCGCCGTGAGACACTGTTGCGTCGAATCTGGTATGATACGCGCGCAGTACCCGATGGCGTGGATCGCATCAGCGACTAGTTCATCGTCTGCATCGTCTGCATATATCTATAGGAGCCATCAGTAGCCTTTTCGTCTGCATCTGCACAGATCCCTGCGGCATGCGACATACAATGAACTCGCGGAGCAGCGCTTGATAATTGTCGGTATTGATAAGGTTTCGTAATAGATGAGCCTTGTCCTTTTTTACTGGCGGCACATCGTCTGCACGTACGAGCAGCCGGGAGTAAAACGGCGCAAGAGTTTGCTAAAGGAGCATAAGCCTCAAATGCAACGGTGAACAAGTGACGTACACATATCGACCACGATGCTATCACGAGGTACGCAAGCACGACGCGTTCAATCTCTTGGGAGGCATGCAGAAGGCGAAGCAGAGGAGAAACGATCTTCGGTATTTCTGAGGTGGGCGCTAAGTAATAGAAAACCCGCGCGACGGCGAGGACTACCTGCGAGTCATCGTTCGTGCAACTCAGAGATGCAGACTTTGCACCATTGCACTCACAGCAGGATTCTGCGACTGAAACAGCGGCTCGGCCAAGTTAATCAGCAATCTCAAGTCAGCATCCACTTCTTCCTCTCCAGTGTCAGGGTTCATACTGGGACGTGGAAGCATGGTACGCGCGTATCGGATGAGAAGGTTGAGCAAGTCTACTTGCCCCCATTCGTCCGCATCGATGAGCGTGCGGCACAGCCGGCGATAGTGTTGGTGCAGTAGATCAAGACGCGTAGGACAGACCTCTGTGAATGCGACAGCAACGCTGCCGATCGAGAGTGGAGAGTGGTCTCGCAGCAAGGAGGATATGATAGTGATGAGTTCGGGCTGGTGAGAAGAATCTAGACTATGCCGCCAAAGAGTTGATGATGTGTGCAACTGAACAAAGTGAGCGACAAACCTATAACACTTCGGAATGGCAAGAGCAGCGGCCTTGCGGACGTACGGGCTCACGTCGGCGGCGCACTTCTTGATGGCCAGTACCACAATACTGCCAATCATAGGCACACGAATGCCCGAAAGAACACGGAGTGCCATCGCACGGATGAGGGGATTGGTATCGGAGAGGTCCTTCTGGAACGTGTTTATGGAGAGGAGGGCGAGGTCGGGCTCCTGCTCCGCGTAACGGAGGAGATATATGTACACGAGCTTCCGCACCTCCAGATTGTGGGACGCAACATTCTTGACGACGTAGGGAAAGTACTCTGAGACATTGCGTCCTTTGGAGATGAGCTATACGATTAAGGCACGTTGAATGCAGCGGGAGACGGGCAGCTCGGATTGGACATACTGCAATGAGTCTCTTCATGGCATCCAATTTCTCCCTATCGCTATTCGAGTCGAGCTGTTTCTTTATGTTCCTCACCTTCTCCTCCGGATTGTCTAGATAGGCTGAGCTGGATGTCCTCGCAAGATTCAGGTCTCTCGTGTGCTCCGAAAATGTCTCCTGCAGACGAGCCCCCAGTCTTGAGGCATTCTCGGTAATGGTGTTAAAATCCATGATTCAGACCAGCGGAGTCGTAAGCTCCAGGTTCACGGCAGCTCAGAAGAGAGGTGATGGGCAAAAAAGGAGCAAACACGGTTCGAGCTTGAGCGAAGCTGGTCCGATCATGACCTGCTCCTGAAAAAAATCGAGCGAGCTCACTCAATCTAGATGAGCAATAGTCGATAGCAGGTAGACTAGGATATCGTAGAAATACAGAGCGTATAATCAAGACACAACAGCAGATGCACGACAATTAATGAGACACAGGAAGAGATCCGCATGCTAGAGCAGTACAAACGCGCCTACAAGTTACCAGATAAACAATGAGAAATCGTCCACGCACTCTACGAATCAAAAATCGGCCACCCTTGCTCGGATGGCATCATTCCATCCCACTTCCAAGCATCCGATCCTTGGTAATATGCCGACTCACCCCCGTCTATTTCTTTCCACAACCCTAGCCGTAGCACGTCCGGAACCTCCTCTATGTCATCGCTCGCGATTCGCGCCGGGTCGAATCCAGTCGACGAGCCGTGTCCACCCTCTGAGTCAGACCCCGAGCCCGGGCTCGGATTCGTCGACGATGCTTGAAGTTCCGGTGTTGGCGCCTTCGAGCCCGTATCCTCCTCCATACAGTATGTGAAGTCAAGGAACTCCGACTCATCAGGCTCCGGCAGACGCGACGGCGACGATGGCCCTGCACCGTTGGATAATTCTGTGTCACCAGGATAGCCTTTGAGAATCTCGTCCAATGTCTGCGATAGCGTCGTCATATCCTGCTCATGCTCCGAGGACATTGTCCTGAACAGCTCCGCCATGCCCTCGTAGAACTTGGCTGCATCCTCGTCTGTCTGAATAGACTCGACCTCAGCTTGCTTTTTGATTAGCGCCTCGCTCGGCGGCCCTTCCCACTCAGTCTTCACCTTCTTCGGGGAAGGCGCAGAAGGAGGTAGCTCGCTTGCAGCTAACAACTCCTCCTCGCGCTCTCTCTTGATCCCAGCCGGAGCAGAAGCCCCTGAAGAAGTTGCAAGATCTGCAGCAGGGGATTGCGCGGGGACCATGGCAGGCGAAGGCATAGGTACAGCAGCATTTGTGGGAGTGGGAGCAGTAGCGGGCGTCGGTGGGGCGGCAGGGGTCGAAGCTGCAGCAGGTGTTAACGCAGAAGCTGCAGGCGTCACTGCCGTCTTCGTGTTAGACCGACGCTTAGCGGGCGTTCTTGGTTTCGCCGTCTTGCCTCTTGGTGACCGTGGCGTTTGCGGCGAACTTGCGACATGGGAAGGTGTAGGAGGATTCACGGCAGCTGGCGTCGCAGTATGCGCGGGTGGCGTGGCTGTCGACGGTCCTGCCTCAGCAGGCGAAGGAACCGTGGGATGAGGTTTCCTCGCCGCCGACGGCGGTCGCGGACTCGTTTGCACCTGCGACTGACCTTGAAGCTGCGATTGCGTCCCAGCCTGAACCGGAGCTACAACTGCAGGCTGAGAATGAGGTTGTGCTGGAGGTATCTGAGGTGTCCGGTGGATCTGTGGTGCTGGTGGTATTTGAGGAGTCTGAGGTATACTGGGAATGGCTTGCGGTAGCTTGGGTGTAAACTTAACATCCTGCTGTTGCTGGACAGCGGGCGCTCCGCTTGGCTGTCCAGGGCTGCTTTGCGAGGCACCGGAATGAGCTACAGGTGGGTGAGGAGCATTATGGCCAGACGCCTGCAAATTGAATCGCTGATATGGCAATGCTTTGGCGGCAGTCCTCAATACGTTGAGAATGTTGCGCAAATTCTCCAGCGTAATGAAGTATTTCGATTGACCTTGCTCTACGCTCTTTTTCTGCCAAATTGTCGTCACGACCTAATACGCAACTGTCATTTAACATGCAAGGGACAAGGTGCAATGTTGACATACCGCCGCGGTTATCCGCCGAATCAGATGTT